TCCCAGCAGCACAGAGGGACACAGGCTGACCTTTTCACCTACCACGAGGAGCACCACTGCTGGCAGTCCCCTGAGCTCGCCCATTCCTCCTTAGCCATTAGTGGCAGTGGCTAATGAATTGTCTGTGAGCCATGGGGCCCCAAGTCTTGGCAAGATTAATAAGCTGTTTCTCCCTAGGGAATGGGAGTCCTGGGATGCTTCCCTCCATCATCTCACCCTGCCTCTCTTTAACGATTAACTTACTGGACTAAAGAAAAGAGACCGTTGGCAAAGCGCTTCCTCCAGCCCAGGCACCAGGCAGAGTGAGGGTGGGATGTGGTTAGAACATAGCCTAACCTTGGATTCAGCTCTCAGCTCTGGTGCTCACTAACTACACTTTCCAAAACAAATTACTTCTCCTCTGTGTGCATTCATTCTCTATGTGAAAAAGATAATAGTAATACCAAGCTCTTGAAGATGCCGTAAGGAACAATGGATGTGAAGTAAGCACTAGCGATTGGTACTCTCATCTGAAATCTAAGCTGTAATCCATTTCAAAGGTATAACATCTCTCCACAGTCTGCTTTCAGCTCTCCTTGTGAGAGTTAAGTGGTGGCTCTACCCAGTCCAGAAGCTCCTTGTCATGAGGAAGCTCTGGCAGTGAGATCAGGAGATTCTGCCTTTGTCGCAGGTAAGTTACAAGTTTATTATCCTACAGCGCACTGACTTCCAGCTGTCCTCAGTACCATTTGGCATCAAATAGGATCTAGATTCCTGGCCCTTGAACCTAATGACTAGGTAACCTTGGGCGAGTTACTAACCTCTCTGAGACTGTTTATTCCTTTTTTTTTTTTTTTTTTTTTGGAGAGGTTTTTGCTATAGGGCACGTGCGCTCACCAGAAAAAGAGACAGAAAACGAGAAATCACCCCCCAGTGGGGATGGCCATACCACCATGCCACAATCCCTTCTCTTCCATTCTCCTCTCGGGATCCTGCGCATGCACGCACATACGCCTGGTGTGAGTTTAAGCCACTGGGTCTGATACTCAAACAGTGGCCAACTACGTGGGAGTCCAGTGACATAGCCATTAAGCCAACTGCTGGTCCCTGAGACTGTTTATTCTTCTACAAAGCAGGGATACTATTAATTTACTTGAAGAGTCATTTCGAGAACCAACTATTCCAGGAAATTATTCAGCACAACATCTAGTATTTAGAAAGCACTTGACAGACAGTAACTGTTAAAGCAACAGACATTTACCATGATCAAATTAGAGAATAGAATTTGTGTCTCATACCTTGTAGCAGTGAGTAGATGACTGGCTCTTTGGGAACTAATAACAAAAATAAATGAATGAATGCTGTATGTGTGGAAGTAATGGTCAGTAGGAAAAGTAGTGTTTGCCTTTTGTTGGTGTCAGAGAAAAGGACCAGGAGAGAGAAGATAAGAAAAAGACATCTTTTTAAAGACAAAAAACTACAGGGACCAGCAGATGACATAACAGTTATGTTTCTAGACTCCCATATAGTCGTCCATGATTTGAGTCCCTGACCCAGCGGCTTAAAACACAACAGGCGCATGCAGGCATGTGGGTATGTGTGTGTGTGTGTGTGCCCAAAATCCTGGGAGGAGAATGGAAGAGAAAGGACTGTGACATGATCATTCCACCTGGAGGTTGATTTACTTTCTGTCTCTCTGATGAGTGCCCACGCCCTATAGCAAAAACCTCTCTAAAAAGAAAAAAAAGATAGAAAACAAAAAATCAAGAAATAAAGAAAAACTAATAGAGCAAAAATTAACAGTACACATCAAGATGAGTTCTTTGTAGAAAATGACAAATACATTATCTTTGATTTGATTAACATACACTGCATGCACACACTGAAAATCCGTATGATACCCCACAAAAATCTACAAGTATAAATAAGAAATTATAAAATTAAATTTAAAAGGACACCAAAAAATGAAAATAAAAAAATCAAAAACATAAACTGAAGAGATTCGGGGAAAAAAAAAATATATATAAGAATAAGGCAAGTTGCTAAGGGAGTAGGAATGTGAGAAATGCTATAGTTTATAAAACATGGTGTGTAATTTCTGGGATAACAAAGATTAGATAGAATAAAGTTAAAAAAGGAGTGATGTATTAGAAATAATCAGAATGGCATGTACTTCTTCAGAAGGGAATGAAGAAGATGGAATAGAGGAGGGATACACAGAAGGCTTCTAAGATACTGGTAACATTTATCCTGCTCTTAAATTAGGGGGGCTGGGTAGAAACATGAAGTGCTTATCTTATGATTCTATAAATATATATATATGTATGTATATATGGATTATATACATACACATACACACATAAATATTTGTGTTCTTTTGTTTGAATAATTAAGTTTTTTTTTTTTTTGGAGAGGTTTTCGCTATAGGGCGCGTGCGCTCGCCAGACAGACAGAGAGAGACATAGAGACAGAAAGCGAGAAATCACCCCCCAGGGGGAGGGATACACAGAAGGCTTCTAAGATACTGGTAACATTTATCCTGCTCTTAAATTAGGGGGGCTGGGTAGAAACATGAAGTGCTTATCTTATGATTCTATAAATATATATATGTATATATATATATATGGGTTATATAAATACACATACACACATAAATATATGTGTTCTTTTGTTTGAATAATTAAGAATTTTTGAAAGGGAACAAATCTGATCCTCAAGAGGAAAAGAAATGGTGAAGGGGGATCAGCACATGGAATAATGGTTATGTTGCTGGACTCCCACATAGCTGACCATGATTCTAGTTCCAGACCCTGCAGCTTAAAACACACTGGACGTGTGTGCGTGCGTGCTCATGTTCCTAAGAGGAAAATAGAGGAGAAGGGATTGTGGTGTGGCCATCCCTCCTGGGGGATGATTTCTTGCTTTCTGTGTCCCTGTCTCTTTGGTGAGCACATGTGCCCTATAGGAAAAAAAAAAAAAAAAAAACTCTCAAAAAAAAAAAAAAAAAAAAAAAAAAAAAAATAAAAAAGAACTGGTGAAGGAAGGCCTGTAGAACAACAAAGAAGTCTTGGCCCACTGTGGTAGCACAGAGGTAACCCAACACTTAGTGATGCTGAAACCACATGAAAAGGTTCTCGGTTTGCTTCCCAAGGTCTCCCTGTATGCACTGGGTGCACATTTGCAAGTGATACTGGGTGGAGCTGGTCTGGATGGTGGCATGAAAACCCTATTGGGAATGCCTATCTTTATCTCTGCCTCTTTCTCTGTGTCTCTGCCTAATGAAATAAACAAAGAGAAAGTTGACAGAAAGGGAGACGAGGGCCCAGACATGGTGGTGTGCCTGTTAGATGCCCTGCTCAGCAGGCCAGGTCCACATGGGAGGCCTGGCTTTCATTCCTAGTCCAGTCGGAAAGCCAGTAGTCCTAGCAGTCTGCAAGGCTGAGGCTAACCTGGGCAACAGACCAAGATCCTGTTTTAAAAAGAGCTGGGGGAACCAGCAGATCATGCCATCTAGGTTACATCCCTAGACTCCCACGTAGTCAACTGCAGTTCAAGTCGTGAAGCTCGTGGCTTAAAACTCACACTGGGTACATGTGCATTCATGCCCAAAATCCCAAGAGGAGAATGGAGGAGAAGAGATTGATTGCAGCATTGCCATTCCTCTGGGGGTGATTTGTCACTTTCAGTCTCTCTCTCTCTCTCTCTCTCTCTCTCTCTCTCTCTTCTCTGTCTCTCTGGCAAGCATGTGTCCCATAGCAAATATCTCTTTAAAAAAAAAAAAAAGACCTATGTGTGGTGGCTTGCACCTTCTCACATGGGAAGTTGAGGCAAGATGATTGTGAAGTGAGATTCTGTCTAAAAAAAGATGATAGTTGGGCTGACATGTAATTTTTACACAAAATGAAGACCCCATGATTGGAAAGTGATTGTGCCATTCCATGAACTCCCAGGTTAGCTTTTGCCAATGAGACCACCAATTTGCTTGCTACCTCATCCCCTATTCAGCCTTTCTCAGATTGTCTGTGCTCAGAAGACCCTCAGTTTCTGCCTCTTCAATGCCAGGGTAGCTGCTACATCGCACTCCCATCTTTGTGCTCACCTTCTGTGTCCCCGGACAGTCTTTCACAACAAGGTCACCTCCTCCAGAAGACTTTTCTTGATTCATCCACTAGGTTCCTCTTTCACTGTGCAGATAACCTTCTCTTGCCCACACTTGATCCTTAATTTATTTGCCTTTAATTTGGGGGTCTTGATAATTTCTTTGGTTTTCCTCAGTGTTTATTGCCTGCATAAGCCCATACTTTTCCAGCCGCAACTTCTCATGGTGAGGCCTGAACCCATCAGCCTATACCTTAAGGCCTATTGATTTACTGACTAAGGAAAGGCTGTTAATGGGGCCAAGGTCAGACGTATGTAATCTGACTTCCTTCCATGGGACATTATTGGCAAAATCAGTACAGCTTATAGAGTAAATAATATTTTATCAATGCTATACTTCTTGTATTTAGTAGACATAGTGTGTTACATCAAAGAATTTTCTCTTTCTTAAAAACAGAAAGAAGTGAAGAAACATTATATATGCAACACACTCTCCACTATCAGAATAAATACAACTGAATATAAAAAAAGAAAGATGAAATGATAGGAAGTGGCAAATATTGGGACCAGCAAATGGTTATGTCATTTGGACTCCCACATGACCAACAGCGGTTCAAGTCCTGGACCCGGCAGCTTGAAACTTATGCTGGGTGTGTGTGCATGTGTGCCCAAAATCCTGAGAGGAAAATGGAGGAGAAGGGACTACAGAGTGACTGTTCCCCCAGGGGGTGATTTCTTGCATTTTGTCTCTCTGTCTCTTGGTGAGCACATGTGCCCTATAGCAAAAATCACTATAAAAAAGAAAGTGACAAATATTACTCATTTATTAATATAGATGAAGAGTATGCAAGAGTTCTTTGGACTACTTTTGAAATTTTTCTGGGAGCCAGCAGGTTGCATGGTGGTTAAGGTGCTGGACTCTCATGTGGCTGACCATGGTTCAAGTCCTGGACTTGGCAGCTTGTTTTCTCACTCCCCCCCACACACCCCCGCCTGGTCAAATTAAAAAATAATAATAATAAATTATGCTAACTGCTGGTCTCAAATAATTCTTTAAAGCTAGTTATAAAAAAGAAAAATTTCTGTAGGTTTATGTTTTATATAAAATGTTTATTTAATTTTATTTGTTGTTATTAATTTGCCGTAGGACATGTTAGCTTACCATAGAGAGATGAGAGACAGAGAGAGAGAAAGTAAGCTATCAGGTTCGGGACTCAAATCGCAGTTGACTGGGTGGGAGTCCAGAACCTTAACCACCACACCACCTGCTGTCCCCTATATAAAATTTTTTATGTCTCAAATAATGAATAGAATTAAGAAAATATTAAACAAATTATCATTTCAACTCAATATATTTTGCTATTGATGTCATCTTATCTAAAAGAGAAAAGAGAAAATGTTGTATCTTCTTTTTTTTTAACTTCGATGTCCCAGAAGAAGACAATAGCAGCATTTTCTTATTTTGCTACTGCACATATAATGTTAAACTGAAGTTAGGCCTTTTTATTTGTAGGCAAAACTCTTATATTTAGTTTAAGAAACCATAATTTATTTTAGAAGAAGAGACAATAATAGCCTAATTAATCTTTCTATGAATGGAATCACCTCACGCAAAAAGAAGCTTCTTCCTTAATTTTATACACTCTGTCTCTGATTCACTCCCCTACAAACAAGAGTACAGTGATAAAACATGAATCATTCTAGGAAATTTAGGCCCCAGAAAAGAAATAAATATGTATGTATGATAGGGAAATTCTATTAAAAGAACTTCTTTACTAATTATTCTTTTTTAAAAAGAAATATTTTATAACTTTATTTACTTATTTTATTTTGACCAGAGAGGGACAGAGTGAGAGAGAGAGAAAGTGAGAAAATTAGCTCCCAGTCCCAGAACTCAAATTGCAGTAGGCCATGTGGGAGTCCAGCACCATTAACCACCAATACCACCTGCCAACCTCTACTAATTATTCTTAAATGTGCATATAGAATATTCAGAACAACCCCAGTATTTAAAATAAAATAGATGTTGGGCCAGCAGGTGATGTAGTGGATAAAGTGTTGCACTCCCATATGGCCAACTGTTGCTTAAGTCCCAGATCTGGTGGCTTGCTATCTCACATTCCCTCTCTCTGTCTCTGGTGAGTACATGTGCTCTATAGCAAATTCAAAAATAATAATAATAAATAAAATTTAATTAATTAATAAAAAATAGATGCTTGGACTAGCAGATGGCATAATGCTCATGTTGCTGCACTACCATGTAGTCGAGTCCCAGGCCCAGAAGCTTAAAACTCATGCCAGGTGGGTTGGTCTCTGTGATCTGAAAGTTGACGACTTCTTTATGTCCGGGAGGCTGCTCCCAGTGACTCTGAGGCCATCACTATGCCACAAAATGAATATATTTAATTACATCGTAAATGCTAGGGATACCATTTGGATTATCATGAGAAAAAGAGAAAGAAGGAAAGTCGGGAGGCTCATGAACATTCAAAGAAGGCAAAAAAGATGATTGGTCTGAAGGCTAAGCTCTATCATAAACAGCACCATGCTGAGAAAATACAAATGAAAAAGACCATCAAGATGCATGAAAAGAGGAAACCAAACAGAAGAATGATGAAAAGACTCCACAAGGAGCTGTACCTGCCTATCTGTTGGACAAAGAAGGACAGTCCTGAGCTAAAGTACTTTCTAATATGATTAAACAAAAACAGAAAAGAAAGCGGGAAAATGGGAAGTCCCTCTACCCAAAGTTTGAGCCCATGGAGAAACAAAAGTATTAAAAGTTATTTGAACAGGAAAGAGAAAGAAGAAGGCATGGAAGAGGATGGTTACAGAAGTCTACTTTGTTAGAGAGGCTTTACTAGAAAACCACCTAAATATGAAAGATTCATTAGTCCAATGGGCTTACATTTCAAGAAGGCCCATGTAACACATCCTGAACTGAAAGCCAGCTTTTGCCTGCCAATACTCAGTGTAAAGAAGAAACCCTCATCCCCAGTATACACAACTCTGGGTGTTATCACCAAAGGTACTGTCACTGAGGTGAATGTGAGTGAGTTGGGCCTCATGACACAAGGAGGCAAGGTTATTTGGGGGAAATATGCCCAAGTTACCAACAATCCTGAAAATGATGGATGCATAAATGCTGTTTTACTGGTTTGATAGCAGTTGAGTACAAATAACTCCTTGTAATTTTTGAAGATGATACACCAATCTGGAAAACCATGATGACTGATGTTTCTGAATATAGCTTGGTCTTCCATGTCTGTACTCATCAAAAGATTATTTATTAAATTGTACAAAAACATTAAAATGGCCTGTTAAAAAAAAAAAAAACTCATTCCAGGTGCATGTGCATGCATGCCCAAAATCCCGAGAGGAGAATCAAGGAGAAGGAAATGTGATGTGGCCATCCCCCCGGGGTTGGTTTCTCGCTTTCTTTCGCCTTTTCTCTGTCTCTCTGGTGAGGGTATGTGCCCTATAGCAAAAATCCCTCAAAATAAAAAAAATGTGCTCAGTAATGTATCATTGGATTAGTGAAAACTAATTCCTTAATCCATATATTACATGTGAATGTAATACATAATGATTGACCTAGAAGAACAGGAAAATAGAAGGAGCTGCTGGTTAGTAATAAGCCTGAGAAAGGGACGCAGGTGAGAAGTGGCAGAAGAGAAATGTCTACCTCATGTGACCTGACAAGCACCCAGAGTGACTTTTTACAAGACACATTGAATCGCACTAGTCTGACAATCTCATTTCCTCCATGTCTGAACAGGAACAGATCATGTTCAACCAAAGCTCCCCAGAGGGCTTCCTCCTTCTGGGCTTCTCTGAACACCCAGGGCTGGAAAGGATTCTCTTCGTGGGTGTCTTGGTGTCCTACCTCCTCACCCTGGCAGGCAACACACTCATCATCCTCCTCTCCGTGATGGACCCCAGGCTCCACTCTCCGATGTACTTTTTCCTCTCAAACCTCTCCTTCTTGGACCTCTGCTTTACCACAAGTTGTGTCCCCCAGATGCTGGTCAACCTTTGGGGTCCTAAGACCATCAGCTTCGTGGGCTGCTCCATCCAGCTCTTCATCTTTATGTCCCTAGGGACCACTGAGTGCATCCTCCTGGCAGTGATGGCCTTTGACCGCTATGTGGCGGTGTGCCAGCCCCTCCACTATGCCACCATCATCCACCCCCGCCTGTGCTGGCAGCTGGTGTCTGTGGCCTGGGTTATGGGTCTGGCTCAATCAACAGTCCAGACACCACCCACCCTCCACCTACCCTTCTGCCCCCACCGGCAGGTGGATGATTTTGTCTGTGAGGTCCCGGCTCTCATTAGACTCTCCTGTGAAGACACTACGTACAATGAGATCCAGATGGCTGTGGCCAGTGTCCTCATCTTGGTAGTGCCCCTCAGTCTTATCCTTGTCTCTTATGGTGCCATTGCTCGGGCGGTGCTGAGGATAAACTCTGCCACAGCACAGAGGAAAGTTTTTGGAACATGCTCCTCCCATCTCCTTGTGGTCACCCTCTTCTATAGCTCGGTCATTGCTGTCTACCTCCAGCCCAGAAATCCCTATTTCCAAGAGAGGGGCAAGTTCTTTGGTCTCTTCTATGCAGTGGGCACTCCTTCACTGAACCCTCTCATATACACCCTGAGGAACAAGGAGGTAAAGAGGGCATTTAGGAGGTTGCTGGGGAAGAATGGGGAGTCCAGGGAGACCTGAGGGAGAACAGCTTCATATGATTTCTAAATTAAGAAAAGTTTCTTTATAACTTGTGAAAATGTTGAATTTCCCAGGTCTCTGTCATCTCTCTATATAAGACACACACACACACACACACACAATACCTGATCCACTGCAGTGAATCACAGTATAACTACGTACTAGGTAAGAAAGAAAGGGGGAGAGGAGAACTGGGTTAAGAGGAGGTAGGTATCTCCATAAGACAAAGAAATTCAAATATTATCATTCATGTCAATTCATAGTTCCTTTCTTCTCTAACTTGTTTCCACTGTCTTCATTTTTATAGCTCCTCTAACGTCACTGTGCCTACTTCTGGCTATATAGTCACTCTCCAATTGTCATGTCAGTGTAGGTGATTCATCCTGTCATAGGATTCTGGAGGCCTTGCAGTATCTACAGAGGCCATGCCAGAGAAGTCTTGGGTCTGGCAAGTGATGTGGTGGTTAGGGCACTAGGCTCCCACATGGCCAATTGCAGTCCGAGTTCTGGACCTGAGGGCTTGCTTTCTCACTTTCCCTTTCTCTCTTCTGTCTCTCTCTGGTCAAATACAATCCTTTTTGAAAAGAGAGTGAGAGAAGTCTTGAACCACAGCCAATTTGGAACTTGGTAGGATGTCTTTTGGTCCAAGAAGATGAGAGTCTTATTAGGACCGCTGGTCATTTCTCTCTCCTCTTTGTATCCCTGGAGATGCTGTCATGAAACGCTCCCCTTATTAACTCTCAGGTTCTGATGGAACATGAGGTTTTCTGCCACATGCGCTTTAGGATATAACCGCAGAATGTAATGAGACAGCTGCAGTCTAGAATGGTCTCCTCACCAACAGGGCACCCCACAACAGCGTTTCAGTCTTCTGACCCTTTCAGTTTCATGGTCATCCTTTTTGGTGTGAGAGATTCAGGGAGCTAGTACCTTTGAATTTTTCTTCTTTTCATTCATATGTAATTAATAAACTGAATGTAAAAATGACTCATTTATCAGCCGAATTAGTCAGGCCTTGGCCTTTCCTTGCTTGTCATGAGTGTGCTTGACAGTCATCACTGTCAATCTTAATTTCTGGTCCTCATGTTGTCCATTCAGGCTATTATAACAAAGTACCATAAACTGGATAGCCTATAATAAACAGAAATTTATTTCTCACAGTCCTGGAGGCTGAGAAGTCCAAGATAAAGACAGATTTTATGTCTCATTGATGGCAGCTTCTGTTGTGCTCCCTCATGGTGAAAGGAGTTAGTTAAGTCTCTGGGTTCTTTTATAAAGACCCTATCCCAATCTTGAGAGCTCTTCCCTCATGACCTAATCACTGCCCAAAGGTCCCACCTCTTAATACAATCAACTTGGGGATTAATCAATATAACCTAGTGGGAGGGCAAAAGCATTCAATCCATTGCACATGTCTTCTTTCCTTCTTCCTCAAGGCCCTTTCTTTCCACTTGACCCCTCTTATATTGACTTTCTTTTGCCTTGCCTTTTGCCTTTTGTCCCTCAAGTAAAGCCAGAGGGGAGGAGGAACTAAAGTTCAACAAATTCATAATCTCATACAAATACATAAAATGGATTGGTAAAACCAAAATGCAGACCTTATGATTTTCAGCAATCTTTCAGATATATGGTCGTTGCCACCCTATAGTTACAAATAACCATTTCCTTGATACTGAAATAAAAATAGAATATTATGGGGGAGAGTTTACAATTTTATTTACCAAGGAACTCAGAATAAAAGAGAAAGCACCATTCAGTCTTTCGGTTTTAACTGGCTTTTTAAGTTAATTTTGTTGTTATCAGGTAACCTCATGATACAGATATATAAAACTCTTATCTCCTGACTTTAACAAAATAGCCAGGCACCTATGATGCAGAATATATGGCAGAAGAAAATGACATGCTATTTCTCCAATATCACTCTGTAACTGGATGGGCACCTCGAGTGCAATGAAATGTCAAGAAAAGTAAATTGTCTTTTCCTTTTTTTCAGAGAGAGAGATTTTTTGCTATAGGGCACAGGCACTCACTGGAGACACAAAGAGAGACAGGGAGATAGAAAGTGAGAAATCACCCCCTGGAGGTGGGAGAGGCCAAGCCACAATCCCTTCTCCACCAGTCTCCTCTCGGGATTTTGGACAGGCATGCATGCACACACGCCTAGTGTGAGTTTAAAGTCGCTGGGTTCAGGACTTGAACCACTGTCAAAGTTCAGCAACATAACCATTGGGCCATCTGCTGGTCCCTTAAATTGTCCTCTCTGATGTCATAATCTACCATGATTTTTTGTCATTAAACCATACCTGAAGAAGACATCTCTGTCTTTGTCACCTGACTCCATCAGAAAGATGGGCAGCTCCACATTAGGTGGCTTCACTACCTTCAGGGCAGGGTTTACAGTCTCATCCTTGTCAACAACAAATAATTATAGCCTTTTCTTGGACTCTAGAGTCTTGGAGCCCAGCAGCAGGTCCTGGGCTTGCATGGGAACCTCGGACTTAAACCAGACACACTCACTGATCTTTTCTCTTCAAGTTGGCAGTGAAAATTATTAACTCCCATTCTTCAAAATTGATATTCACTCTGGCAATTCTATATACAGTGAAAATATTCTTCGGGCCACCTGGTGGCGTGTGGTTAAGGTGGCTGGATCACACAGAGCTGACTGCACAGTTGAAGTCCTAAACGGGTTGCTTGAAAAACACACTAGGCATGTGTGAGTCCACCCAAAATCCCAAAAGGAGGGAGAAATGAAGAGAAGGGATTACAACATGACCGCCTCCCATTTCAAACTTTCTTTCTCTTTCCTTCCTCCTGTCTCTCTCCCGGGAACACACATACCTTTAAAAAATTTTCTTTTCAGGAATGACAGTGTAATAAAGACATTTTCAGTGAAGTAAGATGATGAAATTTGTCGCAAGCAATCTTGCTCTAAAAAGATCCTAAAGGAAGTTCTTTAGACAGAAAGGAAATGAAATTAGGGGGAAACAAAATATCATGAATGAAGGAAAAGCAATGGAAATAGTAATTATTTAGGTAAATAGAATAATAGATCATTCTTTTCTTTCATTTGTGAGAGGAAATGTCTGCTGCCCAAGAGAGAAGTGAGAGCAAGAGTAAGAGAGAAAGAAAGTGAGAAAGCATCCCCCAGGAGGGGCAGCCATGCTGCACTCCATTCTCCATTCTCCTCGAGATTTTGAGCATAAACACACACATGCTCTGTGTGCTTTTTTCAAGTCAACAGTTTGGGACTTGAACTGCAGTCAGTCCAACTCCTTAGCCATCACTCCATCAGCTAACCCTCTAACTCTCTTTTCTAGTTCTTTAAAATATGCATTACTTTTGCAACCAAAAATTACAACTCTGTTGGAATTTCAATAAGTAGAGATATAATACATATGACAATGACAGAATAAAGTAGCAATGATAAAGGGACCTATATGGTGGTGAGGTTTGTATATTCCACATGAATATTTATATTTCTAAAGCATCCAGTAAAACAAACAAAAAAAAAATACAGTGACATCAGCAAAAATGGCAGAGTAAAAACTTCCCAAAATTGTCCTTCATAAAAGCAAACTAAACCTTGGCAAAATTGTCAGAATTAGCGTTTTTTAGAACTCTGGAAATTAACCAAAGGGTTGCTGCAATCTAGGGAATGTTTATTCAAGAACAGCTGGGAACCAGCAGGTGACATGATGGTTAAGGTGCTGACCATGGTTCAAGTCCTGGATCTGGCAGCTTGCTTCCTCGCTTTGCCTGCCTGTCTGTCTGTCTCTGGCCAAATAATAATAATAATAATGAATAAACCTATATAAAAATAATTCTTTAAAAAAAAAAAAAGAATAGCAGCTGAATCTCAGCCAAAACAGTGGGCTCTGTAGCACTGTAACTTCCCTATTCTTGTTCCTCCCTCTTCAGCTCCACAGTTGCCTTGAAAATCGATAGCCCACAATCACGGTTGAAAACCAGCAGATGGAAAGCCACCAGAGAGGGCACAATGGGGTTAGAGATCTCTTAGTGCCCTATTTCCAGAGAATTGTTATTATCTTACTTGTCTGGTTGTTCACTAAAACCCACAAAGCTGTCATTATTTGACATGACTCAGAGCTAGCTCAGAGAGAACATTTTTTCCTGAGGATATTAATGAAAAGAAGCATGAATCACTGTAAAACATTACAGCTGCCTGCGGTCATAGATAATAGTTGTGATGAACAATAAGCTAAGAAGTATAAGAAGAAATGCTGGAAACGAGATGTCCATAGGGTACCTTAGAAAGCTCCAGAAAACTCAGTAACAGTGGATGGTGTAATGGTTACATCACTGGACTCCCACATAGTTGGCCATGGTTCAAGTCCTGGACCTGGTAGCCTAAAACTCATGCCAGGTGCCTGCGTGCCCAAAATCCTGAGAGGATATTGGCAGAGAAAGGATTGCAACATGGCCATCACTCCATGGGGAGTGATTTCTCACTTTATGTCTCTGTTTCTCTCTGTGTCTCTGGCGAATACACATGCCCTATAGCAAAACTCTCTTAAAAAAAAAAAAGGAAGGAAGGAGGAAGAAAGGAAGGAAGGAAGGAAGGAAGGAAGGAAGGAAGGAAGGAAGGAAGGAAGGAAGGAAGGAAAGAAAGAAGGAAGGAAGGAAGGAAGGAAGGACGAATGGAAAAGAAAGCTCCAGAAACTTGAAAGTCTACATGCACACATAGGCCAGGGCATGCCAAGAGAGATAGGTATCCTTTGAACAGCCCTGAGAAGTCCTGATTCTTATTTTTTATTTATTTTAATTTACATTTTATAACATATCTTTACATTATATATTTCTCCTTCCAACACAAATACCATGCCTGTCATTCAAGACAAGGATATTAATATATACACTATCATCAGCAAATGATGATAAAAAATCTCATTTTTTATCAATTAAGCATACTTTACCTGTTTTTTCCTTCCCTTTTCCCTTTCCTCCCTTCCATATGAAAGTTTTTTTCACGTTTTATT